AACGAACAGATCTATAAAAACATTAAAAATTATCAGTTTAACATATACTAAGATGTATTCTAGGAAATGTAATGAGGATTTCATAGAAATTGAAAATATAACATAGTTCAGTTAGCCCTTGAAATTCGTAAACTCGATGTGTAGATAGTTTGTTATCAAACCTTTAAAACGTAAAATAGTATAAGCCCTATAAAAGATAGAACTCAAACATAAAGCGAACAAGAGGCACCTGTAATCCAAAGAATGAATTCAAATAAATCCCAATGTTAGTGCGAGAGCACTAATTAACTTTCAGTTGGGCACATGACTTTTAACTGATCTTTAAACAACACCTATGCCATAATATATTATCCACATGTACTGTGAAACACTAGACGACTTAGAACGTTGCATTTCTTTTTGAAGAACATGTGACAAAAATTATTAATGATCTAAAAAAAGAATAAAGGTTTCAAAATACCAAGGCATTTGTAATAATATTAACCCATATTAATGCAACCTCATTATAACGAACTAATTAACAACATCAAGGATATAATATTGAGAGGTGCAGTTCAAAGTCTTCAGTCAGAAATACCAAAGGCTTCTTTGCATCATTATATAGTCCACAGCGAGACCTTTAGTTTACAGAGATAATTAAAAACAACAGCATCTGCGCCTGCAGGAAGGGGCAAGATGCCCCTTTACATTTCACAAAAAATTGCACGTATTACGAGAAAAACTTAACATCGTAGTTAAACTAAATACGTTTAGCAATATTTATTAAGACTGTAAATTTGTGTTTGCATTTAAGCTCACATAAAACATATTATTTTAGTCTGTAAAAGCTGGTCTCCTACACACATATTTTATAGAACATGTACCCACATCCATAAGAAATAAGAGTGTGAAAGAGAAAAAGAATTTACATGTCACTCCTGTAAAACAAAAGTTCTACCACCAAAATGTGAATCAGCGATTGGCCAGCATTCACTTGTGAACCCGACTTGTGCTGAAATATACATGGTTAGCAGGTTTAAAATTATTGCAAATGGTCTGTCAGCCTTTCATCTCTATATTTTGGAAGCCACCTTTATTAAAACACATAAACCTGTTCTTTGACGCCAAAAAAGAATTCCTATACAATCTACCCACATCCTTCAGTAGGTCTGGGACATTTCCTGATTTGCCAAAGGAC